AACAAAAGTTATACTTAAACTAGTCTTCTTCCCAAATATCCACATGTCTAATGTGTGTAGGAGGGTGTTAAACAGGGGACCTACAGCTGGGGGAGAGGCAGACACATCCCATGGCCCCAAGTCTAGGATGGTATTTGGTATTGGTTGACGGCTGAGAGCAAGAGAGGGAACATTTGTGCAGGATGTGGTATCAGTACCTGTAATATATTTTAGGGATTCCTTCTTCTCTTTGCATTATGCCCTGACAATTATATCCATCAGCCTAGCCCCTTTGGCCACTGAAACACTAATACTCTCTTAAGATCCCTGCTCCACTTTCTAAGAGGTGCTGGTGAGGGCATTAGGAGTCTGAAGCCCTGGAAATGTGTTCTGACTCTGCCACTACACAGACAGATGTGGACTAGGCATGTTACCTCTTTTTACCACTCAGCTCTAACCCCTCATTGAAAAACCCAGCATTTTCAAGTGGTGTTTTTCACATCAGTCTTTGCATATCATTTGAAAAAAGGTGAGTTTTTTGTTTGTTTGTTTAACAAAAAGGTTAAAAACAAATGGTCTAGATTTCAAAGTTGGCTTTCCTTTTTCTGTGCTTTTCCCACTATTTAAAAACTTCGCTTCCTTGATTTCTTGATCCCTCTTTCTGCACTGCCAAGTCTGGGAGCATTAAGTCCAAGTAAAAGAAACCTCGGCAAATGAAGAACACCTATAGGTGGGCCAGGCTGCTCCCAGTGTTTTGCATTTTTTAAAATTTAAATGCTGCAAATCTCTATAAATTAGATATTATTGTTCCTAGTTTACAAATCAGAAACCTGAGGCTCAGAGAAGGTGTGGGATGGTACAGACAAACCTGAACTGTTTAAACCTGGCTCCCACTTACTGGCTGTCAGGACATAGAAAAGTCAAGAACTCTCTGGCCGGGTACAGTGGCTCACACCTATAATCCCAGCACTTTGAGAGGCTGAAGCAGGCAGATCACAAAGTCAGGAATTCGAGACCAGCCTGACCAACATGGTGAAACCCTGTCTCTACTAAAAATACAAAAATTAGCCAGGTGTGGTGGTGCACCCCTGTAATCCCAATTATTCAGGAGGTTGAAGAAGGAGAATCACTTGAACCTGGGAGGCAGAGGTTGCAGTAAGCTGAGATCATACCATTGCACTCCAACCTGGGCGACAGAGTGAGACTCCGTGTCAATTAAAAAAAAATGTCATGAAGTCTCATTGATTGTTTCCTCAGCTGAAATGTGGGCTGCAGGGCTGTTGGAGGAGAAACAATAAGAAAGTGAATCAAGTGCGAGCATATGCTAAGAACTCCATCATGGCAGACCCTAATAATAATAAGAAACAGAGTTGTCTCTAACATGACTCTCTCTTGCAAGTGATAGAAATCCAACTTAAGTTGGTTTAAGCAAAAAAGGGAAATTCTTAGTGAGCTAAAAATTTTGCAGGCTCACATCATGGCCCCAGGCCCTGTCCAACCATGGAGTAGGCATTATTCTTGGGCACAAAGGTGACATTCTCATGATTGCTGTTGCTGTGGCAGCTCTGGCTCTGCCAGGAAAGAAGTAAGGAAGGCCATTATCCCCGTTACACAACAATAGTCTTCCAGCTCTGAGAGGTCAAACTTGAGTCACCAGCCTGCCCCTAAACCCATCACTGATTAACCCCAACCTGCATCAGCTGCTCCATGCTGGAGGTGGATGCAGGACATATCAAGAAGGGAGTAAAGGGCAGTTCCCTCAACAGAGTTATAGGATATAGAGTAATAGGCTGCTCGGCGGCCAAAAAGCAAACATATCCTCTACAATTCCTCAACTGATGAAAGCACGAAACTAAAATCATAAGGATCTGGGTGTGAGTTCGTGCTCTCCCATCTTCCATGTGACATTTGACAGTTATTTAATCTATTTTAGCCTCAGCTTTCTAACCTGTACCAACATATAAGGTCATTGTGAGGATTAAGATTATGCATCATCATCATCACTATCCACATTGCAACCACAACTACCATCATCATCCCCACCAACATCATCAGCACCACCATCACAATTATCACTACCACCACCATCAGCATTATCATCACCCTCAACATCACCATCATCACTATCATCACCACCACCATCATCAATACTATCATTACCACCACCATCACTGTCATCACCATTCCACCACCATCAGCATTATCATCACCCTCAACATCATCACCATCATCACAATCATCACCATCACCATCATCATTGCTATCATTACCACCACCATCACTGTCATCACCATTCCACCATCAGCATTATCATTACCACCACCATCATCATTACTGCCATCAACATCACATCACCATCATCACCACCATCACCGTCATCATCACTGTCATCACCAGCATTCCACCACCATCACCATTATCATCACCACCATCACCATTATCATCACCACCACAATCATCACCACCATCACCACCACGACCATCATCACCATCACCACTACTATCAACATAATAGTTCACTACAATTACCACCACCATTAGCATAATCATTACCATCACCATTACTATCACCATCACTTTCACCATCACCATCACCACCATCCCTATGATCATTACTACCCTCCACAACTGTCACCATCATTTCACCACCAGCACAATTATTACCACCACCATCACCACCACCCTCATCACAACCCTCATCATCACCACCATTCCACCACTACCACCATCACTATCATTATCAGTGGACGTCACGTAACCAGTTTGTAGCTGGGCCTAGAGCCCAGAGCCCACTGTTTCTTCTGTCCCACCACCAACCACCAGGATGAGTCACAAAACATAATTCAAGCCTGTTCCTCAGTTTTCTACATCACTGGGTGTTCTCAGCTTCTCAGAAGGAGATTGAAATTCTCCTGCTCTCCCCTTCACATTTCCAGATGTCCCCTGACTTGGATATTCCAAACACAGAGTTTGGAGGTGTTGAGGCCAAGGGGTTTTTCCAGGTCAGCCGTCATCCGCAATCACTGGGCTGATCCTGCTACTGAACTTTCCCTGCTGCCGTCTCCCCAAGGCCCCATCAGGGAGGGCTTCAATCCTCAGGTCACCAGTGGCCTTCCTGCCCTCAGAGGTGACATCTCTACATCTACCACTGGAAGGCAGCACCTACTCACAGATTGCATCAATTTCCCAGCAATTCACGGTGGGTTTTTCCCCCTTATCAGGATGTTTGCCTTGCTCAGAGAGCAGATCCCAGAGCAGTGACACCTAACTTAATTTTCAGCAAAATATTTTGAGAAGGGTGTTCCCTCACATGTCTACCCAGTCCAGGGGATGCATCCACTGCCTGATGCTTGGTAGTCAAGAGGAGCTTCCTCTCTGGGCTCTGGAGCAAGGAACTGGGACAAGCCTCTTCTGCCCTGCTCAGGTAAACTCCAGATTCAGTGTCAGTTTTCTGAACCCAAGACAATGATCTAAGTGTAGTGAATGCCTTTGGGGGAAGTAAGAGAGAGTGCCTCAGTTCTTGCCTGTGCCATCTAATTCTAATGCCTATACAGAGGGAGAGATTTCCATTTATTAGATTTCATTAGAATTGAAATTCTAATAAATTGAAATCTTTCATTAGAATTTTGCAAAAATCTTTGCTTTGTGAGCTTTCATTAGACTTTCATTAGAATTTCAATTCTAATGAAAGCTCACAAAGCAAAGATTTTTGCAAAATTCTAATGAAAGCTGGGCTTGCAAAACTGGAAAACTGGATGATTTGTGAGAACACTGAGACATCCCTAGGTGTGTACATCTAGAAAAACAGCATTTCCCCTGGCAATTTTGCAGATGTTCTATTTCGATTTGGCAAAGAAAATAAAGGCAGAAATACAACTAGGAGAATGTTCACTCTCCCTAATTGTCAAAGAAGGGTAAATTGGAAAATGATTCGGGACAATTTCAACCTATTAGATTAGCTAATATTTTAAAAATTAAACACTCATACAAGTGAGATGAAGCAATTATTTTCTAGTGACATGGTACATTGTCATACCCTTTTAAAGAATAATTTGGCAGTGTTACTGTAAGATAGAAATATGCCTATATGATTTATGGGAACTTAGGCTCAGGAAATATTAAGGAATAAGGGTGAGCTTTATGAACAAAGATGTGGAACCATGGAAGCAAGAGTGGGGCCAACACACACAAGGAGGGAGCATTTGGGCAGTGACTCCGCAGACCCAGGCTCAAGCTCAACTACACAACATCTTTGAGCCTCAGTTTCCTTAACTGTAGAACAAGAATGACAAAAGCACCTGTTTCATAGGACTGTTGTGAGGATTAAGTGAGATGCACCACATCATAAGTTTGCCCCCGTAAAGGTTAATTCTTGGTAAATGATGACTATTCTTTTTTATAAAATATACAAAACATGAGGTTTACTATTTTAGCCATTTTGGAGGGTTCCACTGAGTGGCATTTAGTACATTCACAATGTTGTGCAACCATCACCATATTTCCAAAACATTCTCCTCATCCCCAAAGGAAACCTCATGCCCATTAAGCAGTAGCTCCCCATTAACATATTAGTTATGAAAATTGTAGCATTACAAAAAAAATTCATGATACAATGTTGAGTAAAGAAAAAAAATCAAGAGGTGAAATTTTGCGATATTATGTAATAAGCAAAAGAAACATAAAAAGTCTGAAAAATAGTATATAAAACAATAGCAATTACATTTTCCAGACTCTACATTTTAAACATTATTCTTCATAATTTTAAAAGCAAAAAGTAAACAACCCACCCCAAAACCCCATGACACAGCCCAGATTGTTAAATCCAGGTCTTGGGAACATAGAAATGTGTATGATGTTTACACTCTCCAGGGTCAGAGGGTCCCGCGGCATTGGGAGCTGCCTTGTGTTCCACAGCTTCCCGGACAGACAGGAGGCCCCGCGCCGCCGCTCTGTTCTTCCGGAATTTCCTCCTGAACATGTTTTGGATGCAGTAACCATTTCTTTCATCTTTTTAAACACAGGTACCTTTGGGGCTGGCTTTCTCAAGGAAGCCCGGCTCCCCGTGATTGAGAATAAAGTGTGCAATCGCTACGAGCTTCTGGATGGAAGAGTCAAATCCACCGAGCTCTGTGCTGGGGATCTGGCAGGAGGCACTGACAGTTGCCAGGTAAGAAAAGATCAAGAGACCAAACTTAGTCTTGTGTCCTCCCATCTCAGTCTCAACCCCTTAGACTTCAGTCCCCAGATGGCAAATTCAAGAAGGATTTGGCAACTAAAGACCCCAGTCTTAAATGTTGCTCAGAGACTCCCTAGATCTGTGCCTGAACGCATATTCAGATCATCTAAGGGGAGGTCTTGGGGCTTGGGTTCCAGATCGGTAGCAAGGGAGTTAGAAGGTCTATAACTACCTCAGGCCATTCGCCCTCCTGGGGTCTGCTAGTGGCTAGGGACTAAGGTGGTGACTTTTCCAGCAGGGAAGGATGTAGAGGGCACAGGACAGAGACCAACTGCACACACTGTACAAGGATGCCCAGGCTAGCCCAGTCTAAAGGAAACCCCAACACAGGAAGAGATCATGCAGGATTCACAAGGGATTTTTTTTTCCCCAGGAAAAACTAAGTGGTGTGGTTTTGCTGAATAGACTTTGCTAAGTACTTAAGCACTGCAGATGCTCAAGTAATATGCGCACAAGCTCCTTTCTGATTTCAATTACTGGGAAAATGTATATATGGGTAAGAGGATGACATCCCTTATTAAAAGGCTGGCAGCTTAACTCTCACATGGATTTTTCTTTCCCTCTGTGTAGGGTGACAGTGGAGGGCCTCTGGTTTGCTTCGAGAAGGACAAATACGTTTTACAAGGAGTCACTTCTTGGGGTCTTGGCTGTGCACGCCCCAATAAGCCTGGTGTCTATGCTCGTGTTTCAAGTTTTATTACTTGGATTGAAGAAGTGATGAGAAATAACTAATTGGACGGGAGACAGAGTGAAGCATCAACTCACCTAGAGGCTGGAACTTGGGTAGGGATTCAGCATGCTGGAAATAATTGACAGTAATCAAACAAAGACACTGTCCCCAGCTACCAGCTATGCCAGACCTCAGCTTTTTTTGTATTATTGTCTGACTGCTGGATTCTGTAATGACATAGCTATGACATTTCTTAAAAATAAACTCTGTACTTAACATTGATTTGAGTACATTTTGGCTTTTGTCTTCAACATTTTCACGTTCTTGGTTCACCCCACCAATTTTAAATGGGCTGACTGAGGGGGTTTGACTGTTTTTGATAAGACACAGCCGCACAGAGGACTGAGAAGGCTGCGAGGTCACAGAGGGGAGAGCCGAGTATTTCTTGGAAGTCGTCCACGCATTTGCCTCATCAGCTAACGAGGGCTTGACACACATTTTTACTGTCTTTATTCCTAACACTGAGATGGACGTTTTCAAAGCTGCAAGATGTACGGGGAGCCATGAGAACTGGTTCTGTTATTGGGAATGAAATCTGTTGCTGACTGTCGACTTGAGCCCAGAGGGGACCCAGAGCAGAGAGGTGTATATCAGGGAGTGAACCGAGCCATGAGCGTGGAACACAAGACCAGCTGAGAGTCTGAGTGTTATTCTGGGGCACACGTGAGTCTAGGACGGGTGCCAGGAGCATGTAAATGAACAACAAGCAAATATTGAAGGTGGACCACTAATTTCCCATTGCTCATTGCCTGCCCGGTTTTTAAACAGTCTGCTGCACATTGTCACAGGGGAATGACCTGTGGCAGTGATACATGTTTAGACGGAAGAGAAAGGACAAATGAATGTTTTTTACAATTTAAAATTTTGTTATCAAACAAAATATCCATTCGAAATACAATTTAACAATGCAACGGTCATTTTACCACAAAGAAATAGAGAGAAAAGCAAAACTGCAAGTGACTGTGAATAAACGGTGAGTGTGTCTCGAATCCTCAAAGAGCCATGTTTATTTCACTGACAAATAGATCATTCTTACTCAATTCTGATGTGCGCTAAGGATGAAGATGCTCATTTTACAGTCTGCACACACTTCATGAATATTGTCACCTGTTCTCCCTACAGAAATGTTGTTCTTCATTGTTAAGGTTTCCTTTTGGTTCCAATTTTGCCTGTCCACATAAAGTATTTTATTTAAAAAAATTCAACAAAAAATATAGACTTTATCTGAAAAGATAATGAATATACCACACAAAGCAGAGCACATAAGTTCCATATTTCAAAAGCTGCGATAACAAAACAGAAAAATCAAATCCCTTGTAAGTCTCCATAAAGTCATTTATAAAGCTTCTACTGATCCTGTTAAGCATTTAATTTCTTTTAAATTAAAATGTAAGCTTTTCCCCACGACAAGTCAAAGTGCCAAGACTGAATGGGAACTGGTCCATGTTTTTCACTTCTGACCACAGGCACCATCAGAACCGAACTTAAAAATATAATTATATATATATATACATATATATATATATACATATATATATATATGAAAAATATCCCTTCACTTTTAAAATCCTGTGACCCAGAAATCATAATCCATGGGATTTGTTTAGTAAAGAAGAGAATCTGTGGCTCTAGGTGTTCACAAAGTAGGGCCAAAAACGTCCCAAATAATCTCAGGACCACAACATTATTTTATAAATAACAGAGCCAAGTCCTCAGATTGCAGAGCAGATTGTTTCTTATTGCTGGAACGGGGCCTAAACCATGCCTGGAACCCCAGATGCTACAGAGAAGGTGGACGGGAGACTCCTGACCTGTTCACGCTGCAAAGGCGTGCAGAAACCAAGGTGAGCAGAGAAAATGAATGTCACACCCAGTGGCCCAGGTGCCTGTGATTCAGTCTCCATATTAACAGGATTCCCAAATTTTCATCCTCCCTGAAATCTTCAGAATGCTAAATTATGGGCTTAGTCCCTTGATCGATCAGATTTGATGAACATTTCTGTGCAAATTTCCCAAATCCTTGGTTTGCAAATCTTGCATTCTTGATCGAACGGTTAGGAGAATCAGGTGGGGGGCTTCTCTTATCTCTCTTTAGCCTAATGAGTCGAGACCACTCCTCCAACACAAGAAGAAAAACAGGAAGAGCTGTGCACCTGACAGGCTCTTTTTTTAAGCCAGCTACATATGATGTGTTCCAGAAACTTCAACGGCGCTACAAATCCGAACTCATCCAATATTACATCAAAATACTTTGGATAGATTGAAGTCTTTAAAACAGTATTACAACAGTGCAGCATAGCATAGCTGAAATGCACACGTGCACCTCTGCAAGGTACAGTTTTGCAAGGAGGATTAGCTCTGATAGCGCCTGCCCTCCATCTTTGGCAGGGGCCTCAAAGGTGACAGCTGGGAACTGAAGTTTTCTTATTCCCGCCACATTTATAGGAATGTGGACAGAAAAAACAAAGGAGAAAGGAGAAAGTCCTTATGAAAGATTATGCAACAAGTTAGAGGAAGGTCTTCTGTTATTATTTAATAGCATATCTGGTTTTGATCAAATACGCACACCTAACTTCGGATAAAAACCCAACTCAAAGGTAACAAAAATCACATCAGGCTCAATTTTTGACTTGCTTTCAGACCCTAGACAGAGGTTAGTTTGCATTATAGAATTTCAGTTCTGTATGAATTTCTACTGAATTAACATATGTTTGGAAATGAGCTGCCGATGTGAATAAAAAACAGCAGAAATTATAGAAAAAATGCAGTTTTAGAAGGGAATATACTAACAGGTTTCAGTAATTTAGCGTGAAGCAGTTTTTTTTTTTGTTTTGGAGTAAATAATCACAGATCACAACCAATGTGCTTAATTTGTAGTACTGTAAACCATACTTCTACTTGATTTTTTTCAAGTATAGGGACTAGGTATAATCACATTAATCCATCCAACTTTTCATTATAAAAATTATAAACAGAAAAAAATTAGAATTTGTGTAACTTAAATCTTTATTGGTATAATTCCTCGTGTTTATATATTAATCGGATATTGATTTTCCTTGCTCTCCATTGGGACAATCGTGAGCCACCCCACTGCCCTTCACCAGTCAAAACCAATCTCTCCAAGTTGTTTAATTTTAATGCAGCGGAAGTGGCAGAAGAGTACTGGTCTCAAAGGACTCCCTGTTCCGCCATTTTTTTCCTGATGAGTTTATCCATCTGACCCCTGACTGGGTCAAGAATGAATACATCACTCTCACTGTGTAAACAGGCAGCATCAATGGAGAGAATCAAAGGGAAGAAATTTTGAAATACTAAAAAAAATTTAGAGTTCCTATCCTTATTATCTTCATTATGAAGACCGCTTTTTAACTTTTAAGTTAGCTGTTAAATCATGTTTAAAGATCACACAAACAACACAAGACTACATGTTCTAATTTTTTAAAAAATCAAACAATACAGAAGTTTCTGACAGGAAAGTGATGGCCCTCTCTTCCCTACCCCTCTTCCCAGCCCATTTGTGTCCCCAGGGGACATAGCTTATTATTTTACATCTTTTACTATACATTCTCATTTTCATATTCTCTATCTTTTTAGTGAAATTTTTCAAATAGAAAATTAGAAAGAACTTGAGTAATGTGAATTTTTATTGATATAACTAACTCTTCATGTTCATATATTGTCTGGATATTAGCTTTCCTTGTACACTATTTAACACCTGCCTCTAAAACTCAATCTCTCTCTCTTTCCTTTGTCTACTTATCTCTATTACCTATCTATCATCTATTATCTATTATCTATTCATCAATCTATCCATTATCTACCATCTGTCTATCTATCTGTCTATCTGTCTGTCTATCATCCATCTACCTGTTATCTGCCTGTCTACCATCTGTGTATCATCTGTCTTCCTATACAGCTTCAGAAAGGGACTGCCTTTGGTTTTAGTTTTTTATAAATACTATAACATGCCGTTCAGCAACGTTTCACTTTGTAATCAGTCTTGAAAATCTGCCTGTGCCATTCCGTCTAGACAGACCTGACTCCTCCTCACTCTGTAGAGTAAGCCACACTGTTAATCCCCTGCTGTTGCACATCCCAGCAATTTCCACTTAGTCTTAGCACTTTACATGGAAATGCTTCCGTCTTCACAACCACATTTTAAAAATAATGCATATTCTTATCTAGCTTTGGTGAAGTTTTTTACATTAACTTAACCTTTTATGTTTACTTTGAATTTTTTGCTTATGATGTAAGATAAGGATTTATTGTTATTTTCTCCCTATGCATATTCAATTTTCTCAACATCTTCCTTTCCTCAATGGTTTAAAAGGCTGCTTTTATTTAGGGTGCATTGAATTTTGGACAATGCCTGACAAGTTTTCTACATCATCCACTGTTTCTGGTAAGGCAGTACCCTTGGTTTCAGGCAAAAGCATCATGAAGCCACCACAGATGGATGTCAGGATACCTATGGAATAAGAGAAAGGTGTTACCCTCTCCAGGAAGACCCAGCTGGGCCCTCTCCCATGGGCCTGCTCACTGTGAAGCCGCCATGTTGCTCACTGGAGCAGCTCTCAGCCACAGCAACCTCTGCATCCCAGATCAGTGCCTCAGTGCTCCTTTGCCACGATTTCAAATGTTCTCTCCCTCCCTCAAATCCTGAGCTATGGCCCCTGTACACCTGGCAGCCATGGGTTTACTCACACATCTCACAGTGATTGACTGACTGCCTTCTCAGGGTCCAACTCTGAAGGCCTCCCCTCCTGCATCACAGGGAAATAGAAGCACTGGAGGAGAGTCCCTTCTGTGCCTGCTCACTAACACTGTCACTCACCTACTCCTCTCCTTCCCATTCCTCCTGTCACCTTAAACGGGAAGAATTGTCCTAGTGTCTACCCCAGGACCAGCACTCACCTAGGCCTGTCTCTTTGGGTGTCTCACTGTAGCGATCAACCCTTTCTCCAGTATCTTTAGTCTTTTGGGAGAAGCTTTCAAACACATTCAGATCTTTCCTGTTTGACCAGCCTTCTCTCATTCTTTCTTCATCCTTCCATTACCATTCTTTATTTTTCTGTTCTTTAGAGGCAAAGGTCTTGAAATGCCACCCTGTCTTATTTTCTCCACTTCTTTATATCCTAGTGGTGTGCTGATAAATGCCTAACACTGATTTTGGACAATCAAGCACTGATAGGCAGCATCTGCCAGTGTACATGGTGTAAATG